AAAGATGAAACCTTTTGTATTATATATTGTGTATTCAATATGTTGTAATCTGTGTCTTTTGTATTTAATTTAATTAAATTTATGTCCGTATTCTACCAGAGATATGACACTCCTGCTACTTCTGATTATGATCCATGTAGTGGATGAAGTAAACATAGATGAGCAACAGCAAAAATACAACAATTCAGGAAATTCAGAATCCAACAACGATCCACAACACAGCAACTGCTCACCCCCTCGTAAGTTCCTAAAACCCTCATTCTTTAAATCTTAATATAAGAAACAGTAGTCAGATACCATTTTTCCCCTTCACCATGAGGGAATTTATTTGTATAAGGTCTGCGCGTGATCCACAATTTTGTAAACATATATACACTACTGGTCAAAAGTTTTTAATTTTCTTTTTTTTTAAAGTCTCTTATGCTCACTTTCTGTTTTAATTTATTTTAACGTGTAATTTATTCTTGTGATGGTATAGGGGAATTTTCAGCATCATTACTCCAGTCTTCAGTGTCACATGATCCTTCAGAAATCATTCTAATATACTGATTTGGTGCTCAAGAAACATTTCTTACTATCAATGCTGAAAACAGTTTTTGCTTAATATTTGTGGCATCCGTGTGACAGTACCGTTCAAAGTTTGGTGTGAGTAAGATTTAAATAATAATAATAATAATAATAATACTTTTGTTTAGTGTGGATGCTTGATTAAGTTGATTAAACAAAATCAATCTCTCTCTCTCTCTCTCGCTCTCTTTATTTATTTTCATCAAAAAATCCTGAAAACGCAAATTTGAATGATTTCTAAAGTATCATGTGACACTGAAGACTGAAGTAATAATGCTGAAAATTCAGCTTTGCGCAGGAATAAGTTCTATATTTAAAATATATTGAAATAGAAAGCAGTCATTTTAAATTGTAATACTATTTTACAATATTACTGTTTTTACTGATTAAATAAATCCAGCTTTGGTAAGTAAAGAGACATATACTTTCAAAAACATTAAAAAGATTCCAATCTTTTGGCTGTAGTGTAAGTTCCTTACACAAATTAATTTTGTACATTTCAAGCTACACTCTTAAAAATAAAGGTGCTTTAAAAGGTTCTTCAAGAGATGCCATAGAAGAACCCTTTTTGGTTCCACAAAGAACCATTCAGTCAAAGGTTCTTTAAAGAATCATCTCTTTCTTACCTTTTTGTATGGAACCATTTAGACAAAAAGGTTCTTCTATGGCATCGTGAAGCACCTTTATTTTTAAGAGTGTAATCAGTTTTCATTTGTATTTTTCCTTTGAAAAATTAAAATAAATACATAATAAATATAACTAAAATAAACATTAAGTACTTGATTAAAGGGTTA